TAATCTCAGCTACTCAGGAGGCTGAGGCAGGAGAATTGTGTGAACCCAGGAGGTGGAGGTTGCAGTGAGCCACGATTGCACTCCAGCCTGAGCAACAAGAGTGAAACTCAGTCTCCAAAAAAAAAAAACAAAAAACTTTTCTTTGAGATTTATCTATGTTATTTTGTATGTAAGTTTATTTCATTTCATTGCTAATTATATTGCTTACATATACCACAGTTTCATCTTTCAAAGGACACTTGAGTTATTTCCAGTGTATGCTATTATGAATGAAATTCTGTGAACTTTCTTGAAGTATTTTAGAGGACATTTGTTTTTATTCTCAAAAAAAATACAAGGAGTAGAATTTCTTAGTCATATAGTGGTATATGTTTAACTTTATAAGAGAGTTGTTATTGCTCTACATCCTGACCAAAATTTGTTATTGTCAGGCTTTTTTTATTTTAGCTGTTCCAGGGGGTTTGAATTGGTACTGCATTGTGATTTTAATTTGCATTTCCCTGATGACTAACAGTGATAAACATCCTTTCATATAACATTTACCATTCATTTATCTTCTAGCTTGAAATATCTGTTCAAGTTTTATGCCCATTTCAAGTGGATGGTTTTTCTGTTTATTATTGATTCATATTGTTGAGTTATAGTAATATTTTATGAATTGATCTCTTTATTATTATGAAATGTTTCTTTTTATTCATGGCAGTACTCCTCATCATGAAATCTAATTTGTCTGATATTATGGCTACTTATACTTACTGTATACCTGATTATTTTTTTCATACCTTTATTTTCAATTTATCTGTGTATTTACATTTAAAGGTCATTTCTTGAGCCTAAAAGTAATAAGCACCTTGAACTCCAGTCTTTGTATCTAAATATGATTCTCCAGTAAAATTTATCAGGGTTCTCTGTAGAAGTGGCTGATTGTTGAGCAGGGATAAGGAAAGTATATGCTGAACATGCAACATTTTGCGGTGCCAAAAAGTAAGGAAGTACACAAAAAAATTGAGGAGATGTCGTAAATGCACAAAAACTAACATGAAGTGACTCTCAATGACCAGATCTGGGACAATTTGAATAAAAAAATAAGTGACAGTAATCGATTATATTTTATAATATAAATATTAGTAAGTTTGTGATGATAAAAATAAGTGGCAGAATGTATAAATGGGAGGAAGGGGGACATTATTTCAGCAGAGTTATAATTAATTAATATGAAAGAATAATGGAAACGGTAGAAATAGAAAGTCAGCATTTGGCAAGCACCACAGTAATAATTGTTACAGGTAAGAATCATCAATGGATGCTAAAGTTTGTGAGCAAAAGTATGATGAGAAATGGGCTATTTACATAACCTTAAAGGATTTTCCCACAAGATACTGTTAATTACAAAGGGGAAAATATTGAGAAACCTGGAAGACAGCACCTTAACCAAATGATTGAAGTTAATATCATTAGTAATGCAATAAATCAGTATCATATGCCTCCTGATATGATGCACTGAGAAGGGCACAGGCATCATCGTTATGGTATTCTTGCAAAAAAATGCATAATCTAAATTCAACCATGAAGACATATTACAAGGATATTCTATAACTACTTAGTACTCCTCAAAAATGTCAAGATTATGAAGGACAAAGAAAGACTAAGGTACGTTTTAGAGTAAAAGAAACTAAAGAGACAGGGCTACTAAATGTAATATGTGAATCTGAATTGGACCCTGGACTAAAATTAGTCAGACATTTGGTGAATTTTGAATCAAGTCTGTAGAGTAGTTAATAGTACTTCTGAGTTTGATCATTAAAATATAGCTATTTAAGATGTTAACTTTTAGGGGATCTGGATGAAAAGTACATGAGGATTCTTCATACTATTTTACAATTTTTTTTAATCTGAAATTATTTAAAATGAGAAGTTGGCCAGGCACAGTGGCTCACACCTGTAATCCTAGCACTTTGAGACAACAAGGCAGGAGGATTGCTTGAGCTCAGGAGTTTGAGACTATCCTGGGTAAGATGGCAAAACTGTCTCTTTAAAAAAAAAAAAAAAAAAAAGGAAAAAAGTGAAAAAGTTGAAAAATATTTAATAAAATATTTTTAAATAATAATGATAGCTGTCTTTCATAGGCAACATATAGTTAGGTTTTGCATATTTAGTCAGACTGACAATCTCTTGTCTTTAATTGGACTATTTAGTCTGTCATAATTTATATGGCTGGATTTAGTACTCAGAATGTGTAATTTATTTCTTTTCATCTCATCTGTTTCTTTGTTTCTCTTTTCCTGCCTTATTTTGGGTTAGTCAAATATTTTCAGTATTCTATTTTAACTCTTCTCAGGGATTCTTAGTTCTTCAGTCAATTAATGATTAACTTCTATTCATCATACCACTTTATATAAAATGTAATTCTTGCAACAATGTAGATGTGATTATTCACCTATCTTTTGCACAATGTTGTCATTTGCATTACATCTGCATTTTTTAAACCCATAGTGTAGCGATTTAATTTTTTTCTGTATATAACAATTTGTTCTTTAAGAGATTGGGAAGGTAGTGAAAAAAAAAAAACTTTACCCACATCTTTACCATTTTGTTCTTTATTACTCGTATCTTTAGATCTGAATTTCTATCTGGTGCCACTTATCCTCAACCTGAGAAACTTCCTATAGCATATTCTGTAGTGCCAACAATTTGTCTGCTGATGACAAATTAACTTTATCCAAGAGTATTTTTATTTTTCTTTTCTCTTTCATGGATAATTTTTCCTAGATATAGAATTCTTGGTACTTTTTTTCTTTCAGCACTTATAGATATCATTCAGTTTTCTTCTGGCTTCCATTGTTTTTGATGAGAAGTCAACCATTATTTGTATTTTTATTCTCCTGTGTGTAATGCATTGTTTTTATTAGGCTGCTTTCAAGATTTTCTGTTTATCTTTTGTTTTCAGCATTTAATAATGATATGTCTACCTATGTTTTCTTTACATTTATCCTGCTTCAGTTCACTGACTTTGTTGACTGTCTCAGCTTGTGTTTTTGTAAATGTGTGAATATTTTGGCTGTTTTTTTCCCCAGATATTTTTCTGCCCTATTACCCATCCCCCTTTATGGAACGCTAGTTATGCATATGTCAGATTGCTTGAAATTTTTCCTCAAGTTATCTTTATTTTTCGTATAAATAAATTCTGTTTCTATATCTTCAAGTTCATGTTACTTTTCTCCAGTCATCTTCAATCGTCTTTTAAACCCATCCACTGAATTTTTTTATTTCATATATTTCATTTTAGAAATTTCATTTCTAAAATGTACATTTGCCAGGTGTGGTGTCAGACACCTGATACGATGCACTGAGAAGGGCACAAGCATTTCTCAGTGCATCATATCAGGAGTTAGCCACCAGGTGGCTATCTCCTCTGGGAGGCACTTTGGTAGGCCAAGGTGGGCAGAACACTTAAGGTCAGGAGTTCGAGACCAGACTGGTCAACATGGTGAAACCCCATCTCTACTAAAAATACAAAAAAAAAAAAAAAAGCCAGGCATGAGGGTGCAGGCCTGTAATCCCAGCTACTTGGGAGTCTGAGATGGGAGAATCACTTGAACCTGGGAGATGGAAGTTGCAATGAGTTATGATTGCACTACTACACTCCAGCCTGGGCAACAGAGCAAGACTCTGTCTCAAAAATAAAATGAAATAAAATATACATTTGATTCATTTTTAGTTTCCATTTCACCGCAGAGATTACCCATCTTTTCATTCATTATGGCCTTATTTTTCTTTTAAGTCCTTTGAATATCTTTATAATAGCTGCTTTATTTTCCCTGTCTTCTTATTCCACAATCTGGGTCAGCTTGTCGTTAGTTTCTATTAATTACCTTTTCTCTTGATACTGGCTCATTTTTTCATTTCTTTGCATGTCTAGTAATTTTTTTATTGTAGGCTGGACAATGAATATAGTAACTAATAGAGGCAATGAATTTTATTATATTTCCCTGAGGAGTGTTGATTTTTTTTTTTTTTTTTTTGAGATGGAGTCTCACTCTGTCACCCAGGCTGGAGTGCAGTGTCACGGTCTCAGCTCACTGCGTCCTCCATCTCCTGGATTCAAGTGTTTCTCCTGCCTCAGCCTCCCAAGTAGCTGGGATTACAGGCACATGCCACCATGCCCATCTAATTTTTGTATTTTTAGTAGAGATGGGATTTCACCATGTTGGCCAGGCTGGTCTCAAACACCTGATCTCAGGTGATCTGCCTGCCTCAGCCTCCCAAAGTGCTAGGATTACAGGTGTGAGCCACCATGCCCAGTCAAGAGTATTGATTTTTGTTCCAGCTAGTTAACATAGTTGAACTCCAAATTCTGCTTCTCTTTTGGTGAACATCAGCAGAAATCAGTGCTCAGCCCTCTCAGCCTTCTAGCTGTTGCCTTTCACTTGTTTGGTTCAGGGTTAAACAGGGATTTGGGTAAGAGTTTATATTTAGATTTGGAGAAACTCTGGTGGCTTCTTTTTTCCTGGGATTTTTCTCCTCTTTTTCTAGATATGTTGTTAGCCCCAAACTAGGCCTTCTGACTCCTCAAGCCCGTAATAGTGAGGATTTCAGCTTAAGTTCTAGGCTGTCTGCATTATGTGGACTGTGGAATACTGCTAGAGGAAAAGCCATATAAATACTGAATCCTACCTAGTGTAGTTTCTTCTTGGAAGGATTGACTTCCCTCCAGTTTCTGCTTGTTCTGGGTACTTTCTGTTTGTACTGTTGTACTTTCAAATAGCTGTTTTGGTATTTTGTCACAGAATATAATTGTTATCCGCAGAAGAATTAATCTAAGATATTGTACTCTGCTATTACCAGAAGTTGTACCACATTTTGTTTTCCAGTAATGCTGCATAGGATTGAATTAAAAAAAAAAAATCTACGTTTTCTGTGAATGATGGCACTGTCTCATCAAAATCTTCTAAAGAAATTGAGCGTATTACTAATTTTATTTTTTCTTCTTTCTCTTATAGACAAGAGATGATTTCCTAGGTCAAGTGGATGTTCCACTTTATCCATTACCGGTTGGTATAGGTGTCCATGAGTTTTCGTGTTTATTTTTTTTTAATAAATACTTACATATATACAATATAGTTAGTGTAAATAATTGAATTATCAAATGTGTACTACTTTTATATTTTAGGCATACTGTTTTCTAAAAACTTGTTTCAATTTTCTGTTTCCATTTTCTTTTTAAGATTTTCATACATGAACCTCAGTGAGAAATAAATAATTTCTGATATTTGTTATCATGGAAAGCATTGTGTAAAAAAGATTAGTTTGAAAATACTTGCTGAATAACTAGAGTGAGGAGTGCCTAAGCTCACAGAAGAAAATTAAGATAGTTTACAACACTAGAAACATGAAACACTAAGAATGAGAACTAAGCATATAGCAAGGAGGAGAACAGATTCAGGAAACATTGTAAAATAGAACATTATTGAATCACATGGCTGACATGGAGGCTTAAGAAAATAAGCAAAAAGTAAAGATAGTACAAGTTGAACTGGGAAGATAAGGGTGGCATCTCATGTGGAAAAGTGAGGAAGAAAGTCATTTTGTTTTGAAATGTTAAAAAATATATATTTTTGGACATACTGAGTTTTGATAGGAAACAAAGTTTAAAGTGGACTGCTGACAGATAAAAATCAATTATATAGGGAAAAGAAACTAGAAAGATTGAGAGTTATCACTGTGCAGGTTAACAGCAGAATCTCTGAGAATAAAGGGCTTCCCTTATAAAAGACATAAGAAAAGCCGGGCGCGGTGGCTCACGCCTGTAATCCCAGCACTTTGGGAGGCCGAGGCGGGTGGATCACGAGGTCGAGACCATCCTGGTCAAAATGGTGAAACCCCGTCTCTACTAAAAATACAACAAATTAGCTGGGCATGGTGGCGCGTGCCTGTAATCCCAGCTACTCAGGAGGCTGAGGCAGGAGAATTGCCTGAACCCAGGAGGCGGAGGTTGCGGTGAGCCGAGATCGCGCCATTGCACTCCAGCCTGGGTTCAG